TTGCCTGGGTGGGCCAGGGAATAATGTGGGCGGGCCAGTGCCGCCCTGGCCCATTACTGGCTACGCGCCTGCTTCCGGTCGGACGGACTTCCCGGTTAACGAACCCTGCACCCGAACCCTGACCACGAATCCTGCTCGTCCCTTTGGTACCTCGTCTTCGGCTCCCCTCCTCCGAGATCGGAGCAGTCTCTGCGACTCTCCGCCCCGGCGCCCCGGCAGAGAATACCGCGCTCATTTGCGACCCGGTGCCGCTCTTCCCCTTTGCTTGTTCTCCGCAGCCCCATTAAAGGCTCATCATCCCTGCATTCCTGGATCTTTGTTTTCCTTCTTACCCGTGTGTGACACTACTATATATGTTAAAAATAAATGGGAGCAACAAGGCAATTTAGAAATTTCAGAGAATGAATGGTACAATTGCTGTAAATCCCAATGGAAATGTACCAACTCATACATCTGGAAAGAATTTGGCTGGAAATGTTTAGTTAGATTTTTTATTACCCCTATACAAAAAAAAAAAAAAAAAAACACACTACAGGAGGAGACTATGAATGTTGGAGGTTATGCAGGAATCAGAATGCTAATCATTGGTACATATTCTGGGATTGTTCATTTTAAAAGAAATTTTCAGTTGAAGATAAAATTCTGGAAGACATTTTTTCGATTTTTTCCAATTCTCTACTTTCATTTTAGGAAATGCCAAAAATATTACAAAACACTGGCTACTTCCAGATCCTCCCACAATAACCGAATGGATAGATATTGTCAATGAAATATACAGTGGTACCTAAGAACTCGAATTTAATCCGTTCAGAACTCCGGATCGAATCCTAAAAAGTTCGAGTTCTGATCGACTTTCCCCCATAAGAAATAATTGGTTCCTGCAGGGCCACCAAAAAATTACACCGAAATATGTTTTTCTTTAGCATTTAAACACAAAATGAACAAAACAAAACAAAGAAACAAGAAAAGCATATATTGCACTAAACACATCTAGGCACATTTATCAAAACAGTCATTTTTAGAGTAAGAAAATAAATGTATCCAAACAATGTGTAAAGTAAAAAAAAAAAAACAAATAAACAATGTGTCCTGCCCCGATCGTCCGCTCCTTCCGTGTGCCATAGAAAGACATCCAACAGAATTAATGATTTGATTTAGGACTCCAACAATTTCTCTATAAATAAAGAAAACAACTGTTTAACTATAATCTGTATGACATAAGCGACAACACAAGAATTTTCTCGCTGCACGTTCCCTATACTCCCTCCCCCTTTTTTATTGTTTTTTTTTCCATGTATGTCCCTTCATGTAAAATAGTTAAAAATTTCCACAGAATGCTAAGGATAAGTGAAACAGAACAATTTTATTGTATATATATATATGCTATATTATTAATGTATAATCATTGGTGTATTGTCCTGTTTAAAGAGAAAAAAAAGAAAATGATCAGTCAGTGACAATGAGAAGTGGGAG